GGGACCCCAGAATGACCTCACATAAATCCACATGGGTTGGGCCTAACCTCTGTGAAAAGGTTTGGCCAAATTCACTGCTAAACATAATGAACCCCTGAGCACATCACTATGGGCTCAATATGGACCCAACATTTACACTTAAACGGTCATTGAATTCGGCCATCCTATGAAGACCCAAGGATAATGGGCTTAAGTAAGACAAAGCTCATTAAGTAATCAACCCTATAATGGTCTCTTACACTTAACTTCTTGGCCCATAATGATCAAACACTACCCGACAAGGAAGGACCTCTCCCCTGGCTGCAAGGTGCAATATCACACTCTCTACTCGGATGGATCCCGGGAATTAAAACATTTTTGCAAACATTTTTCATAAAACATTAATATATATATCATAAATGTATTTTGCAAAATCAGATTTCAAGCACAATTGGAATTATGTTTCCACCTGTGAGTATAAATCCTATCATTCACTTTGCCCGACAAAGGGGTCGATCCTATCACTATGATCACTCACTCAAGTGACTTCTCAGACTGCCCCAACAAACCTAGGTTTTGACCCTTTATGGATCTTACTGATTGGCATATCAAAGACAGTCCTATCCAAAACCTAGTGTAGTATTATAATCAAATCCGAGGTTATGTGTAACTTCCCATTTTTTCCCATCAATCTCCAAGGTCCAGGGCATAACTAGAAAATGGCCCGGGTTTAGTGTTTCATCCAAACACATATTGCATGTGCTTCGGGTCTAACCCTAGCAGCTGAGACAAGCTGCCCAACTTCTTTGGCAGCACATCAGTGTCAACCTTGGTAGGATAAACTCCCCAAGTCTATTCAATGGCCGAGAACATTCTAAATTAACACAAGTCTCAAAAGTGTCTAGTTTAAGGGGTAAATACACAGAAACATACCAATATTAACATGAAACAATAATGTACTTTTATTCATTTACAATAAATGTACTTGTACATTAATCTGATTAGAGCTAAGTGCATACATTGTCTAACACCTGTTACATTCAGTTGTGCCACCATGTCATTAGTTGGACCAGAGAGCTGATGTGGAGTTCTTCTATTGTAGGTCTTGAGTTTGGGCTGGCTATTTCCATACACTGGCCTGGGTTCAATGCAGCTTGTCCTAACAATCTATCTCTAAAGCCCCGTATAGGATGGCTCCAATGGAGTTGAAGGAGCTTATGGAACAATTGTAGGAGTTGTTAAACAAAGGGTTCATTACACGTAGTGCGTCTCCTTAGGGTGCTCTAGTGTTTTTTGTAAAGAAAAAAGGATGTAAGTATGTGCCTTTGAATTCACTATAGGGAATTAAATAAGGTGACAATGAGGAATAAACACCCTCTACCTAGGATCAATGACCTTTTCAATCAATTGCAAGGTACTCAAATTTTCTCGAAGACTAACCTTTGTTCTAGTTATCACCATCTAATGATTAAAATGGAATATCTTCCCAAAATTGCCTTAAAATGAGGTATGGACATTATGAGTTTCGTATGATGCCTTTTGGTTTAACTAACACACTAGCTACTTTTATGGATCTAATGAATAAAGTGTTCAAGCCTTTCTTGGACCAGTTTGTTGTAATATTCATAAATGATATCCTTGTGTATTCAAAGAGTAAGGATAAGCATGAAGAGCATTTAAGAATGGTGTCGCAAGTTCTTAAAGAAAAGCTCTATGAAAAACTGAAAAAGTGTGAATTTTGGCTTGATAGTGTAGCATTTTTGGGTCATGTAATATCCATGGATGGAGTATCAGTGGACCCAAAGAAAGTAGAAGCGATGGTGGATTTGTTGAGGATTTTTCCCATATAGCCATGCCTTTGACTTGATTAACTCAAAAGGGTGTTAAGTGAATGGTCAAATAGATGTGAACAAAGTTTTCAAAAGTTAAAGTGGTTAGTATGAACTCCAATTCTCACAATTCCTTCTAGAAATGGGGGTTTCACCATCTATTTTGATGCTTCTAAGCAAGGTTTAGGGTGTGTACTCATGCAACATGGTAAAGTGAGATCCTATGCTTTGAGGCAATTGAAACCATATGAGTGAAATTACCCCACACATGACCTAGAGTTGGTAGTTGTATTTTCCTTGAAGATATGGAGACATTACTTGTATAGGGAGCGATGAGAAATATTTAGTGATCATAAAAGCCTTAAATACCTTTTCACTCAAAAGGAGTTTTATATGAGAAAGAGGAGGTGGGTGGAGCTACGAAAAGATTATGATTTGATTATCAATTGCCATCGAAGGAAGGCCAATGTGGTAGCAGATTCTTTGAGTAGGAAATACACTAGTAATTTGGTTGCTTTGATCACAACACAAAGGTATATCCTAGAAGACCTAGGAAGGCTTATAATCGAGGTCTTGGTACATAAACCAAGAGCATAATTGGCAAATTTGAAGGTTCAGCCTACACTGAAGGAAGAATTAGGGATGCTGAAGGTAATGGTCCTCAATTGAATAAGATCAAGAGTCAAGTAGTAGAAAATAAAGAGGGAGTTGTGTCCATGAGGATGGAACGCTAAGGTTTGGCAACCAGTTATATGTTCCAAATGAACCAAAGATAAAAAGAAAGATTCTGGAAGAAGCTCACAATCAGGATACACAGTGCATCAAAGAAGTACTAAGATGTATGGATCTGTGAGATTTTTTCGTGGAATAACATGAAAAGGGAGATTGCCCAATATGTGGCACAGTGCTTGGTAAGTCAACAGGTAAAAGCTGAGCACCAAAGGCTAGCAGGATGGCTGCAAGCTCTCCCAATCCCAGGATAAAGTGGGAGAACATCACCATGGACTTTGTAATAGGATTACCTAGATCACAAACGAGTAAAGATGCTGTTTGGATGATTATGGATTGCCTGACTAAGTCAACTCATTTCCTAGCAATTAAAGTTGGTGCCAAACCTGCCTCTACTCCTATGATGCAAACCATAAGATTTCAGCCAATGATGGTGAGCTCTTGGCAAACAAGGGAGTATAACAGAGACTTTTGAGGGAGTTACTATATCTTTGTATGACACAAACAGATATTTCATATATTATAAGTGTGATTAGTCAGTTAATGCATGCCCCCAAAGACACACATATGGTTTCTACAAAAAGGGTTTTGTGTTACTTGAAAGGAATTCTAGGGAAGGGCATTATCTTCTCTAAGCATGGACATATGAAACTAGAGGCTTATAGAGATGCTAATTGGGCCAGCAGTATTGATGATAGAAGATCTATATCTGGTTACTATGTTATGCTAGTAGGGAATATTATCTCTCAGAAAAGTAAAAATAGTTTGTGGTAGCTAGATCTTCAAATGAGGTAGGGCCATGGCACATTGGGTTTTAAAGTTGTTATGGCTCATGTAACTTCTAGAGGAGATAGACATTGCATATGATAAGCCCTTGATGTTGTACTATGATAATCAGGTTACAATGAATACAGCTCACAACCTAATCCAACATGACAGAATAAAGCATATTGAGGTAGACAAACACTTCATATAAAAGAGGATGGCATCTGGAGAAGTCAGTCTCCCTTTCATTGCCTTAGAGGAGCAGCTGGCAAATGTTCTAACTAAAGGTGTACCTAAGGCAAAACTGCAGCACTAGGTAAGCAAGCTGGGCATGATTGATATCTATGCTCAGCTTGAGGAGAGTAGAGATACTAAGCTGGATGGGCCTTAGTTTTTTTCTTTTATTTTTAGTGCTATTTATGTATTTATTAGTGGACCTTAGTTATGGGCATGTTTTACTTTTCTTGTCTTTATTGAGCTAGCCACCCTACTATGGGAATACTTGTAATTGTATCCAAAGTACAATTAGTTTCTAATAAAAGTGATTTGAGGGACTGGAGAAAGGTACGACTGGCTCTCTTCTTTCTTCCTCTTTATTCCATTCTCTTCTCCCTTCTGAATAATTTCTTCTTCTTCTTCTTCCTTTTTGCTTTACTTTCAGATTTATTGCAGGTGTGATTCACAACTCAGTTCTTTTGGGTGTCTACCTAACCTGTAAATGGAGACACAAGGTCTTTCTCGATCCATGTTTGTGATCTCCCAATCCTGTTAAAAGGGGCATCCCTTGGTAGACAACAAGTACTGCTGTAAGCTGTGTTTTTTAATGTGAAAGGTTGTTTACTAGACCTGCTGTAGGGTTATTTCTTCAAAGGTGTAGACCTGTAGCAAGGTCTTGCTTGTTCATATTGATGATTAGCTGGTTTCAAGGTACATGTTAAATTGTTAGTAAGAAGAGGTAATATGTGGTATCAGTGTGTGACTGTTTTTGTTAGCAGCAACAACAGAATTGTTTTTTTACAATAACACTTTGACCTGTTGAGGTTGTTTTACTTGTTTCTGGTGCTGTGGCTTTGCAGCCATAATAGCAGTTTGGCCGTTTGGGTTGGTGTTATAATTCTTGTCATTCTATTTGTTGCTGGGTGATATAATTATCATTATGACTATAGAAGATTAAGCTGTTTATGGAAGCCAACTTATTCGTAATACTGGTGCAGAAAATAGGACCTTTCTGGTATCCATTGCACCTTTAGATGGGTTAAATTATTTAAAGTGGTCCAAAGGTGTTAAGTTATTTGTAGGTGGAACAGAAAGGGTGGGCTATCATACTGACACAATTGTTAAACCTGAAGGATAAGGGATCTGTATTGATGTCTTCACAGTTACCCACCATGCAGTCCACGCTGAGGAAAAGTTTTATATAGGATGACACAGCTAAAGAGATACAGGATCAGGCATGTAACCAAACCATCTTACTCAACTCTCTCTCATTTTATCACCTATTTAAGCTACCCCTAAGTTCCTACGGATGACATTTTTATACACACAGAAATATAAAAACTATAGAAAATTTTCAAATCATATTATTGCTATTGTCATCATCATCTAAAATTTCCACATGCGAAGTATGTATTGTATACATTTGCTAGTTGTTTCAAATAAATAGAGTAAAAAATCAAATTTGATTCATTAAGAACTTACAGACGAGCCAAATCCAGCCAGAACCAAAAACTGAGAGTGCTGCATTTACAAACTTCTCCTTGAAGTTAGCAAAGGAACCAAAATCCTTTTCAATTTTCTGAAGGACACCTCCTTCAGGTGTTTTGCCCCCATCAGGCTGCATAGATTCCCAAAAGAAATCATGGTTCCACACCTTCAAACCACAGGTCAAAAGGGTCATGAAGTAAAAAAAAAAAAAATCATATACATAAGCATAGTTCAAGAATTATTCCTACTTGGATGAAAAATGCCTATATGCATAGAATTATTCCTACTTAATGAGCCCATAGGCCACCTCTATGGTATGGGTCATGGATTCAGGATGTCAAGTTCTGTTGGTTCTATAGTACTCACGGTGACATAAACAAAGGAATAAAGAATAAAACATGATATATGCATAGAATTGAAGAGTTCCTCAGCCAAAACTGATACCATCCGTGTTGGTGTTGTGAATATCAGTCTTGTCAAGAATCATTTGAGCCAGACACATCAATCAAGAGGCACATAGTAACTCATCCAAATATCTCATATTATTGAGTTGACTTGGACAACTAAAGGAAAAATGACTAATCCCTTTTAGATCTCATAAAGCCAGCATATTGGGCAGACCTGGGCAGCATTGTTAAATTCTGGCAAAGGGTTCCCATTGTTGTAGGTTGCTTTGACAAGTTCATCCATGGTGTACCCATATAATACATTGTTATTCTCAAGCTGTTTATTCAAACAGTCCACGTAGCCACGATGGTGTTTTCCCCAGTGCATTTCCAGTGTCCTCTGGCTCATATACGGTTCCAATGCATCCTGCATACAGATAGATTATTTTAAGAAAATAGTTGATAATATAAAGTAACACCATGACTGATTGAAAATGAGGAAATATGAGGTACAGATCTAATAACACTAACGATATTATACCATAGGTTCATGCTCATAACCAAAAGTGGTGCTCATGCAAGGCGTTACCTACATTGCACAGCACCTCAGGATATCTGCAACTTCAAAAATCAATTTAGTAATATGACCATAATGTTACCATCCTGTTAAGAGATGCGGTTTAGAAGGGATTGTTTCTTTCTATGGGCCTATTGTATTCTATTTTATTTTATGTTTACTAATGGGCTGATATGGTCCATCTTTCATCTTTTTTTTTTTTCTTTTCTTTTCTTTTAGTGCTGCTGCCTACTAGGGGCAGATTTGTCTCTGTATCTTTCACTATAGGTGATCAAATATATCATTGTAGGAGAGAGGAGACAGCCCATGATTTTTCTCTTCCCAAAACATTCTTCTCTTTTGTTTCTCTTCTCTCTTCTTCTTTTCAACTGTTCTGAACCCTTCTTGTAATCACAGCAGTAATTCCTTGATTTCTTTCACTATTGTTTTGATTTACATCTTGGTTCCAGAGCAGCTCTTCCCTTTTCCCTTCTCTTAGAATCTAAACACCACTAGGATCAACAATGCATATGGGGGATTAAGTTGCTTATCATTTTTATATGCTATCACCTGGTGGGCAGAGGATTTGGAAGACCTTCAACTGTTAATTTAAGGCCCAGAAGGTATTCCTGGAGATCATTGCCTGAAATCTGAACCATCTGAAGAAACTTTGCATGGACTGAATCAGAGACTAAGGAGGTAGTTTGGGTTTAGTGCTTAGGCCTTCCTAGGTGTATTTTGGATCTCCACTGAGATTGACATCCTTTAGAAAGTTATCTGGAAAGGCTCGCTTGAAATATTGCACTTTCTCCTATTTCTCTCATGATCCAGGGTTGGTGGAACCCTAGTGTTTGGTGTTGGATTGACTGTAGGTCAACAGATTTGAGGTTGGTATACCTTGTTTTTGTTTACAGTATCTATGATATTGATTTTTTTAATCAATGGTGAAGTTTGGAATGGATTCAAAGCAGCATCTTGAAGCTGGGATGGTTCCCATTGGGTCTGTAGAGAATTCTCTCAATGCAATGACCAAAGTTAGACTCAATTGCACCCATAGTTTTCAAGGCGATATGGTGAGGCTAGGCATGGGAGAGGTAGGATTGTTATGGCTAACTAAGCTATTTAATATGATAGCAAAAGAAAAGAAGATGTCTGATGATTGGTGAAATAGTAGTAATCAATAGGTGCATGTTCTTGCGCTCAGCAACCACATTTTGCTGAGGGGTGCTAGCACAGGATGATTGGTGTAACATGCCTGCATCTTCCATGAATGAGTTCAGGGATCTTTCAAAGTATTCAGCCGCATTGTCTGACCGGAATTGCTTAATCTTCTTATCAAATTGTGTTTCAATCATCTTGCAAAAAGCCATAGTTATCCGTGGTACTTCATCTCGTCCTTTTAACARATAAATCCATRTGCACCRAGAATAATGGTCAATAAAACTGATAAAGTAACGRAADCCATCAATGGAAACAATGGGCGAAGGTCCCCAAACATCAGAATGAACCAAATCAAAAGGAGCTCGAATTTCATTACTAGAAGTTGGATACACTGTTCTACATTGTTTTGACATTTGACACACATCACAAATTAAACTATGACTTGGAATTCCCTTAAACAATTCGGGAAACAACATTGCTAAAGAAGAGAAAGACACATAACCTAGCCTAGCATGCCACAGGTGCAGCCTAGCTATTGACTCTACACTTTYCGGACTAGTAGTAGCAGAAGCTTGTAGGGCTGAGCCGATGTCTGCATCAAAATAGTAGAGGCCCCCATACTCATGACCACTCCCGGTGCCTATATTTAAGAATAAAGGTGATATACAAAGTTGTATTAACTATCGAGGGATTAAACTCATGATCCACAATATGAAACTTTGGGAGAGAATAATTTTTTTTATTGGAAACGGTAACTTGATTAATATAACTTAAGACTAACTTTCCAGATTTAAGTACAACTGTCAACCCCTAAGTAGGTGTTGAGCCCCCAGTAATCCTTCTTACAAAACTGCCCAGAACATTCTCTCCCTCACAGTCCCTTGTTTAGCCAATGTGTCAGCTAAACCATTAGCTGATCTCCTTGTCCATTTGAAGCATGCACTGATCTCCCTTGTTATGTTGAGGATTTCCCTTATGGGCTGTCTATAAATCCAGGCTCCCAACTTACCAGATTGCAACCACTCAATCAACAATTTAGAGTCTCCCTCTATCTCAATTTGGTGCAACCCCAATTGTTTGGCATATCTTACACCTTGAAGCAAGGCCATCACCTCTGCTCTCAATGAGTCCCCCACTCCTATTGGTCTTGAAAACAGAGCCACAATTCTGCCATTTTCATCTCTGAATACTCCTCCTATACCTGAAGGGCCCGGGTTACCTCTAGAACTCCCATTGAAGTTCAATTTCACTCTTTGCTGTGTTGGTGGGGACCACAATTCCTGCACAATAGGTTTCATGGAAGTTGTAGATGCCACTACTTCTCAATTCCTGTAAATGTCTTCAGCTGAGAAGTCTTTAAACAACTCCAAAGTTTTCAACCATTGAATAGTCATAATAATTATCCTTTCTACAATTGCCTCCTTGGATTTCTCCACTGAGTTAGTACATCATCATCTATTGCCTTTTCCCATTTAGGTACTTGTACTACTACTAATCAAGCTATCATCTCAGGTAATTATAATGTCTCTTGGATTATTGATTCCAGTGCTTCTAATCATAGGGACAACATATCTCATCTGTTTTTACATATCAACTTCTCTTTGGTAGAGATAAGATATCTTTAGTTAATCCCTTGCTCCTATCTTTGGGAAGACACATTAGAGTAGGGCTGTCAATGGACTAAGTTCGGATTGGACTCTGCCCGAACCTTAACTAATTGAATTAGTATGGACGGTCCGATGTTTTACATCGAATTGGATTGGTCCAGAATCTAATCGTCCAGTAGTTTAGCGGACCGAAATAGATATTGTCCAAGTCCATTCAATCATCCACATTTTTTGGTTACTTTCAATGGTCCATTCAACAATAGATTAGGGAGTGACCTATGTCACTATCAAAACTGACACCATCCTATCGGAATTTTGTATCCCTTCTATCGTCTGTGTTAGTTCCTAGATCTCTTCAGGATGCTCTTCTCTCTCCAGAGTGGAAGAGGGAGATGGATGAGGAATTTCATGCTCTTTAATCTAATCATACTTGGGACCTCACTTCTCTGCCTCCAAGGAAGAACATTTGGTTGTCAGTGGGCTTACACTATTAAGCATCTTGTCGATGGTAGTGTGGAGAGATATAAAGCACATTTAGTAGTCATATGGTACACACAAACCTATGGTGTTGATTATACTAATACTTTTTCACCTATAGCTAAAATGGGTTCAATCCGGGTGCTTATTTCCTTGGATGAACACTTTGATTGATCGTTGTTCCAATTATATATTAAAAATGCATTTCTTCATAATGACCTAGAGGAGGAGGCGTATATGGAGCAACCTCTAGGGTACGTTGCTCAAGGGGAGGAAGGTAAGGTGTGTTCGTTGAAAAAAGCAATTTATGGGTTGAAGCAATCTCCAAGGGCCTGGTTTGGGAGATTCAGTAGTGTAGTACAACAATTTGGGATGACACAATGTAGGGTTGATCATTCAGTGTTCAATAGAGATACTACCTCTAGGAAGATTGTGTTGCCAGTCTATGTTGATGACATTATTATCACTGGAAGTGATGAGCATGGCATTGAAAAGCTCAAACATTTCTTACAAAGCCAGTTTCAAACTAAGGACTTGGGGCACTTGAAATATTTTTTGGGCATAGAAGTAGCAAGGTCAAAGTGGGGAATCTCTCTCTCACAAAGGAAGTATGTGCTTGACTTGTTGGAAGAAACTGGTCTTTTAGGGGCAAAGCCAATGGATACCCCTATAGATCCTGTGAAGATGTCTAACAGTGAGGGGGAGCCCCTAGCTGATCCTAGATGGTATAGGAGAGTAGATGGACAACTGATTTATTCAACCATTACAAGACCAGAAATTTCCTTCAGTGTTGGATTATTGAGTCAATTCATGTGGAACCCAAGGACAACCCATTGGGAAGGCATTGTTAGAGTTCTACACTATTTGAAGGGTGCTCCAGGTAAAGGGTTATTGTATAAAAAAGAGAGAGAACTTTCCTTGGAAGGATATACAGATGTTAATTGGGCAGGGTCAATTACTAACAAGAAATCAACAGCTAGTTACTACAAGTTTTTGGCAAGGAATTTGATTACTTGGAAAAGCAAGAAACAAAATGTGGTGACTAGGAGTAGTGTTGAGGCCGAGTACAAAACCATGGCCCACACTACATGTGAGCTGGTGTGGTTGAAACAACTGTTACAGCTGATGGGAATATCGGTCACAACCCCCATGGAGCTATTTTTTGACAATCCAGTGTATAATGAGAGGACCAAACACAGAGGCAGATTGTCACTTTGTTAGAGAAAAGGTCATTAGTGGAGAAATCATTACCCCATATGTGAAGTCTGAAGATCAACTAGATGACTTGTTTACCAAAGGCTTGAGTGGTGCTTGGATGAAATACATTTGTAACAAGTTGGAGTTATATGATATATATGCTCTAACTTGAGGGGGAGTGTTAAAATATAGTTTTTGTTCTAGGGTTATTTTAGTCTTTTTCCTTCTTTTAAATCAATGTTTTGTCTCTATTCTTGTCTCTGTATACAGGGGTAATATTGTAACTTTACTTTTCATTATGAATTAAACATACAGGGCGGCAGTTCTCCCTCTCGATAGAGACTGGTTAGCCCTATTCTATTCAACTTCTTCTCCTCTCCTTCACCATCTCTTCTTCTAGGCTAATATCAGAAGTTTCCTTCTATTTAT